GCTAGGAATTGGTAATTTCTTAAATCAAAAATTAAGGAAAATTTTGAGGGTGTCCCGTTTCAAAAGAAAATATTAATTTCTTGTACTGTATCACAACAATATGTTCTCAGCTTACCTACCCTGGAGAACCATTCCAACAGTAGGATTCTATCGGATTCCGACAAGGGTCAGACAGTGAATATATCGAATACCATATATGTTTCAATAAAACCGACGAAATCTTATGGGATTCCTGGACACGGGCCTACATTCGGATCCTTGGTATTGGATCCGACCGGATCCAATGTCGGATTTAAACGAAATTCAACTCTATTGAATCACCCTTGCGCTCTGATGGCTCAACATGGTTATTTGATCGTGAATAAGAAAATGATTTTTTCCGTCGGAACCGACAATAGACCCATGTCCAGGAATCCTATCGGATTCTGCTAGGGAGTCGGATCCCATAGGATTCGATAAGATCCGTTGTCGGATTCATTCACCTGGATAGGAGGCAGATTCAATACCATTCGACATGTTCTAGTGTCTGAATGAAAGCCTATCCAAGGGTAAAACGTGGTACTTTTCTACTTTGAACTATACAACTAACGTAAGCACAAAAGTACTTCAAAGTACCTCAAAGTACTTAAAGTACAAAAGTACGATGTTCCCCCCTTGGTCAACAGACAACACAGACTAGACATGACTGGGCTGAAGGACATTTCAGACTAGACTTGACGGCAGCTGCGGACATTTCTGACTAGTTATGTCGGCAGTCTCCCTTCATTTTTTGCTTACTTGGGATATTAACCAAAAAAAGGAAGAACGACCAGTATTAAAATGATTTTAATGCATCGTTTTATTGATGCAAAAACGTTAATTCGATAGATACATGAAAAATAATTTAGATCAATGCCATGCTCACACATCGATAGTAAGAAACATCAAAATTATGTTCGTTTAGCAATGCTGTATAAAAGTACTCCATTTCCGTATTTTCACGCACACACACACAGAGACGAAAAAATGAAAAACAATAGAGATCATAATAAAATTGTTTCGGCATTTGCTCGTTCTTTACCGATGATTTTTTTCTTTATCAATACATTTTTTTTGTTGATCTTTCTTGTTTCTCATAGATGTACTGTTAGCAGAAACCAAAAATAAAATCATGCAACCTACAGTATTAGTATTGCTTTTCTTTGCGGAAAGCTTTCTTAAAAATACAGGCCATCGAATGATTAATTTTTTTAATAATATGCTACTCTAATAAAATTCACTATGCTCGGCATATATTGTATACAAATGATCTTGATCTTGATAGTCTTTGATATGTATATAGAAAATTCTAGTTAATATTGCGATTTCAACCAAAATTTAGTGACTCTTGAACAGGACGAAAAACAATTGGAATATAGCTTTTTTGACATATATCAAACGGAATTATTTTTATAATTTTATACACCGCCAAGATTGAACTAGTCTCGATAAAAAAAAGATCTATATGAAACATGCATGATTTCACTCTTATTGATTTTCTAATTCATAGATTTATTTTTTGAGAAAAATACATTCTTTGAAGAACCTCTCAAACAAACTTTCTACATGAAAGATAATTATAAAGTAAATGCACTCTTCCCCTCACTATTCTTTTTTTTTGGGTAGTTTCTTTTCACATTATAAATTTAATTGTGTCATTACTGAATGAATAACTGTTTAGAGAATCTGTACACTGTAAACTCGAAAATAAGTTATAGAGTATAATAAAAGATATTCTAGGAAAGTCCATACGAATTCACCGATGAATTTCTACTTTCTTGAAAATACGATATTCTAAATGATAGGAATAAGAAATTCGATTTTCTAGTTGGAAAATCGAAAGGGAATTCGTATGGGCTTTTCTAGAAATTCGCATTTGACTTAGCGATTAGAACATTTTCAAGAAATTTAAAATTCAACGTTTATTTTTATTCTATCATCAAGTTTATTTTATTTCACATTTGAAAAACATAATGTACAAAAATGAGCTAGAATCAGATAAAAACACGAAATAGTCTGAAATATACAATGCGCAAAAACAAACAAAATGTTACAATCCGATAAAACAAAATATTTCGAAAACTACCGACAGTAAAAAATGAGAATAAGTTGATGTTAACGAGATCTGATGAAAAATATACACCAAAATACGTTAAATACAATGAATTTAATTCGAGCTATTTTACATGATATTCAATTACGACGTATAGAGTGATTATCATCATAGTGCGCGCTTATTCAGTTTATGTTCATTTAAAAATCGTTTTGCAGCTAATGATAAGGAAAATGATCGTTTTTTGAATGATAAACCATTCAGAACTTCTAATGTTGCTCGTACTTTTGTTGGATATTCTATATTGAATATTTCATACGATCCAATTAAAATAGATATTGCTTCAGCTTGTGAATTCGTTGTAATAATTGTATTGTATTCAATAACAATAGAATAATTTTTAATATTTTTAGCTGTTTGTATTTGGATTATTGGATAGGCATCAATTACTTCCTAAAATAAAAATGATACAATGAACCGAGAATTATAGAATAATTTAAATGGTTAATAAAAATACTCACATGACTTAGTAACAGTTTTTTCGAGTGTTTATAACGTTTCATGATCAAGTGCTTCAATACGAATAGTGGTTGTTCTTCTAAAATACAAAGGAAATAATATTCAATGATTAATAAAATGTATTATCTTCAGTGATATTTTCTTATTCTTGATGATTCATACTTTTAAACAATTTTGTACAACTTAATTTTAATGTTTGAACAATATCACCATCAAATGGATCAAAATGAAGATTAATTTCGCGAATCAACTGTTAATAAAAAAAAGCGAAATAAATTTATATAATATTAAGAATATAAAAACTCAGCAATCTCTTACAGATCATAGAATATACAATTTTTGATACTTACCAAGTCCGTGATTGATAAAGCTGGATATAATTCGATAATTTCTTTGGTTGGTTTCATCTCTCTAACAAGATTTTGACGATGTGCGTATGTTATATTCATTTTACTTTTAACTTGACAATAATCATAATTCGTTGTATTAATCAAAACACTCATTGATTCTGCTTGTTGATACAACTGCATCAATAATTCTTCTGGTTGTTGCTTTTCTTCAAGTAAATATTCCTAAAAATACAAGAAATTTTAAGAAAAAAAATAATAGCTTGATTCTTACACGGTGAGATACCAAATCAACCTTTACAAATTTTTATTTTCGTCCAGCCATTTGATGACCATATGACTGTCGCTTCTTCAACAATACTTCAGATACGCAGCTGGATACTTGTCGATCACGAGAAAATTGTTGTTTTAAGGCTGATGTTAACAAACTCTAAATGAGAAAGAAAAATTAAGTAAAGATAAAAACAGGACTCGATCATCTATCAAACATACCATATCTTCACCAAATATTTTACCTAATGCTGGAAATTTATTTTTAACACAAACTATCATTCGATCAAATTCATATGATGTTGGATAAAAATCAATACCATATAAGTATTGACGATATCATCACGAATTGTTTTAACTAATTGTTGTTTTCTTTTGCATCGGGCTCCAAATTCTGATGATGAAGGATCTTCAGCAGCTTGTTCAAAAGCTTTATCAAATATTGGAAGTATATAATTTAATGGAAATTGTTTTCTTGATTGAGATAATGTTGAATTTATTAAAGAATTATTTGATGGTTGCTCATCGACCATTTGATTAGGTGATGCACCAGTAAGTTGTAAAGAATTAATATTTGTCGAAAGTTGACCAGGAGATTGATTTGACGTAGATGAAATCGATGAAGATACTTGTAATTGCAGTTGTTCATTATCTATATTGAAATCATTCAAAAACAACAAGTGATTTGATTCATTCGATTGTAATTGTTGTAAAAATAAATCAGCTTGCTTTTCATCCAATGATACAACTGTACTAAAATAGAAAAGGGCGCAGCTGAACAGTAAATCAGATAAATAAATAAATATTCACTTATCAATTAAACAAACATTCTCTTTCAACTTCTCCAATTTTTTTTCAAATGTTATTTTCACACCAATAGTTGGTCTTTTAACAATATTATTTTCTATTTTAATCGATAATAAGTCTTCAATTGATGATGAACTTAAATGTAATAATGAGAGACCATCAATTTCTTCTTCTAAAATAGATTAAATAATTATATAGCTAATTATTCGTCTATACCTTTAAATCTATTAACGAATCTATCAAAACCATTCTCGACCAACCACATTGAGACATCTTCATTAGTCCAATCCATATATTAGCAATCTAAAATTGAGTAGAAAGACATGAAAAATATCAGTTAAATAATTTTAATTTTTCTAAAGTCTTCAATAAACATAGAAAATGACAGATTTGTAAGCACGTTGAATAAATTTATCAGCATAATGGCGTACAAAAAAAATTATTCAACAAGAGTTAAACGATAAGGTACACGAATGAAATATTCATTGTTTATCCGATAACAGTCTTCTGCTTTATGTGTTAAAAATTCATTTTTATTTAATACAAGATTGACATCTGATGGTTTAATTTCGTAGCACCACAAATTTTCTTTAAATGTCACAGTATCATAGCAATGAACAATAAAACGCCATTCTTTTTCAATACGAATAATATATTTTATTTCTACGAATAACGGGATTTCTTCTCCACCTAATAAATAGAAAACGAAAAAATCTCCAATCTTGTATTTGACATTATCCACGAGCACCCATTTAACACATTGAATGAATTCTCCATAAGTAAAAAGATGATCATCATGTAATGGATTTTGTATAATTTTTTTTAAAACTTGTTGTTCGACGTTCACGAAATTTACCACTAATACCATAAGATTTAAATGTATTTTCATCCATGAGCTCATAGCATTGTCGTAATTGAACACGCCTAGATACAGTACAAGGTAAATTAATGAAATTATTACATCGATTAGCGATTTGCTTTAAAAGATGATGTTTTGCCTCGTAACGTAAATTCATTTGTCGTTTTAATGGGCCATATTTAGAAGTGTTACGCGCAGCATGAAGTAAAAAATGAAATTTTGGAATAAATTGTTCAGGAAAAATTGTTTGAAACAATTGTAGAAATTCCTGAACTGATTGCTCAAGAGCTGAAAGCCAAGATTTCCTTGGATAATCACTGTATAATATGTCCCATATTTGTTGTAGTAATTCATATAAAAACCAATAAGGTACTTTGCCAATAAAATCAAGTAATATAAATGGTAAATTTATAAATAAACAATATTTTTCCATTGCTTTACCTACATGAATAAATATAAAACAATATGTAGTATTACGATGAGCGTTGTATTTTGATTTAGTACTTGGTCCTATGAATAATCCTTACTTTTTTATGATGAACACGTTAGATGTTATTTAAATTCAAATACACAAGTTGATACTTACCGGGAATTCTTTTATCAAAAATATCTTTTTCCTTGAATACAGGTGGACGATTTCGTTTATCATTTGTACCATATGTAAATGTATTTATTCGTTGACAAATTTGTACAGCTGAACATAAACGAGTAGATACGATTGTATGTAATAAACAGCTAGTTCGCTTTGGCATAATTCCCTCAAGAATATCATGCATTATATCTGGAGGCAAACTAGTAATTGGATGAAATGATGGTAAATTTGATAAAACAGATATTTCACTAATGCCATACATTGATTTATCAGCATGCACGTTTTGAACTTGTTTCACCTGTAAATCATGTGATGCTGCCGTACGAATTAATGTCTGAGATTCTTTGTAAATATTTTTCACATCTCTGTGATGTGTGAGGCAATAACGACAACAATGATCAGAATTAAATGCACATATAAATCCATCAAGTTCATGAGCTAAATGAAAAAAAAGAACATTAAAATAAACAGAAGAACTCACTATCAATCTATGAATATTAAACAATATACTAACAGACATAATATAAAATAAAACTTCTGTCAGGATATTATTATATTAAGAATATTTTAAAATATATTCAATCATAAAAAAGTTCCTATGTTCAATCTTTTTTTAACAAGTATTTTATTAGGAAAACGCGAACACAATCTAAAGAAGAAAAAAGAAAATTAAATAAATATCGGCTTCATTATCATTAGATAAATGAATAACAAAATAATGCTACCTTGTACTATTCAAACTTACACCCATGAAACGAAACGAAACGAAACGAAAAGTATACCGTTTATGCGAAACATTGCATAAACTTACGTTCAATTGAATCGAAGACACTCAATAATCAAGTTTCACAACAAAAAAATCATATACCCATTTCTAAAGTTTGCTTCGTAATCATTTCTTAACCGTTCAAAAACAATACACACATAAATAACATCTACAAAAAAACGAAAGAAGAAAATCGGGAACATATTTACTATTTGCACATACGTACATTCATAAAAAAAAGAATTATCTTTTAATTCCCTATTGCACAAGTCAAACAAGAAAAGCATAATTTTAATTTGTGGCATTGTAACTTCCATCACCGAAATGAAAATAATGCATCCAACATTTAATGATCGCTATTCCACATTGGCTCTTTTTCACAGATACAGGCAGACACAACCTAAAGAAGAGGAGAAAAGAAAAAAATATATTTAACTTAATTATTTTTGAAACAAAATATAATAAAACGATCGTAATTTCTCTCATACCTACTTGAACCAGCTAAAGTGAAAACAAAATAAAATAAAATTCATTGCAATACTTATCTATAGTTATTTAGTATAGATAGCTGAATATCAACACCAACACATTTTAAACACGAGAAAAAAAATACGTAGCAAATATAAGTCAAATGAAAACTTAATTGAAACTTGCATCCCCAACCCAATCAAATCTTGTCAAAAGAGAAATGACAACGACCACTACTTAGGACTTTTAATAACACATGGTATGTCATGAGAAATGACAATGACCACTATTTAAGGCTTTAAGCATCACATGGTATGTGATAAGTAATGACAGGGACCACTGTGGAAGAGAGAGGTGTGGGATATCCGAAATATCGGTCATGTTGGAGATGCCAGGGTTGTCTTCGAAATCTGAAATGTTACTAGCGCATAATACAAATCAGAGACCGAAACTAAAAGCAAAAATGGCTTTGGATTGGATTGGGGTTTTAGGACTTCGATTCGATTCGATTCGATTCGACTCACATTGGGTTTACAAAACCGGATTTTCGGTATTACTTAGTTTTGCGGTTTTCAGACTGTCATCTTCTTAGAATTTGAATAATCGCTCAATCTTCTAGAGAAATATCTTGAATAAATATTGTTTATCAATGTTTGCATAAGAATTAATCATTTTTTTCAAGAGGGAATAGATAGAATATAAATGAATGAATACATCCAAGTAGACTGATTGAATAAGTTTTATTTTCTGCAGAAAGAAGAAAAATAAGGTCATCTACTGTATATGGATCTATATTTATAGTTGGCCGTAGCCATAGTTAATTAATAAAGAGGTTGATATCAAGATCCGAATCGCACTGGAAATGTGAATAAAGTTAAAGTCTTATTAAGTAATCTAATTGATACACTAAGAGTTAAAAGAGTTAAAATTTCCTGTAAAATATTACTTAACTCTTAATGCACCAATCGCATGTCTTAACTTAACTATAATGTTAATTTACTTCTCAGTGTGATTGGGGCCTAAATTGGCTAATGAAAAAAGAAGGAAAGACAGAAAGAACGTCCGTTGTAAACGGGCATTTCTTATACCAATTAAAGTGCACTTAAGCATGTTAGCGCTATCTAAGAGAACAGTAATGACCATTAAATGAAGACGATTGGCAGAAATCCAGAGAAACAGCGGAAATCCTTTTTCATTGGTCACATCTTATACTAGTCAACTGTTCTCGACCATATCACTGTAAAACAAAGAAAATGATTTTGAATAACTGTATGAAACTGAAAAACAATGAATCGATTCTGTTCGACCTCAAAATAAATTGATTTGCTTCGACTTAACCTCTTTTCTAGAACTATCATTCGATTCGATTCGACCTTTTGTCAATTTTTTTTATACATTCGATTCCGGTCTCTGATACAGATACTATGCGTATGTAAAATTATTAAATCGCATTCTGCGTCTCACACAGAGACGTCGGTTCTCTCGCACTTCTTCACAGAGAGAGGCCGCATCTCTGGCGTCTCCATCCTCAGCATCTCCCGATGAAAAACGTTTTCCTGATTTTAAGGCTCTGACCAATACCCATCCTTGGGTCACAATTGAGTGTGGAAACCGTTCATCCAGCAATGCTGTCTAACTCCCAAGGAAGGCGAACCCAGAAACTACCTCATTATAGAGCGCAGCGAACGGTGCTGGTGAACGCCGAAACAATTATCGGCTTGCTAAATCGTAGTCATCCATGGATATAGCCACATAAACGAAACACTAAATTTACAGCGAATAACAGGTAAAAAGGTAAAAACAGGCGCACTGCCAACCACGTGGAAAAGGCAAATCATTCGATATTGACACGTCGCTGCGGTAGACAAGCATGAGAACACCCGCACCTACTTAAACGCAAATTAAATGCATGCACACCCACACCCTATATATAGTGTTTTGCCTATGTGACTCTATCTACGAAAGACTAGGATTTAGTGTACCTACATGTGCTTCGACGCTCACCCTCTCGCTTCGCTCCACCATGTGACGAACTTCATTTTTGGTTCCGCCGTCGCGGTGAGTTGTACAGCAATACAATATGCACAGTTTCCACACTCGACTGTGACGCACGGACGGGAATCGGTCATAGCTTTCAAATCAGGAGAGCGATTTTCCTCAGTAGTTTCCGGAAGATGTAGCGTCTGTACGTGAGACGCATCTGCAGGCCTTATAGCTATGATATTTATATTTGGTGGGAGTATTGCTGCTGTGCATCCCGCATCTCCTGTGGCATCTCTGGCATGCCCGATTTGTTGGATATGTGATACTGCTGTATGTTATAATTCAACAATTAACTATTTTATCTCAAATGAAAGTGAGATTCATTCGTAATTTTAAGTGACAGCACAACATATGTAGGAAGTAGAATTTATTTTTTCGTTTGTTATTTTATTCACCGCGTGACTACGTTGATTGCAAACAGTAGGACGAAAAATCAAACTAACAATGCCAATTTATTTTGTTCGTTCTTTTTCAAAAAAAAGAGACGCATGACATTCGAGTCTTCATACAGACAAAAATCAAAGAAGAGTTCACTTTTTAATGAAGTATCAATAGCTACAAATCTAGATGTTGTTTGTTTTCTACAAAGTGTTGCTGTTTCTGATTTAAAGGTTCAGATTGTCTTAAGAATCCATACTGTATATGAGTTTAAGTCTTTGCTTTTCTTTGCTAAAGAACATATATTCTGATCTTCACCAAGCTGTCGATGACTTGTAGGTATCTCCTAGTATCTTCGCATATT